AAAAAAAAAAAAAAAAAAGGCATTTTCAAGGAACCACCAAAGTTCTTTTTACCATAGCAACTTTGGCTTCTCATCTGACCCATAAAAGCCAAGGAAAAGCTCAGGCAGTTTGAAGAATATGGTGCAATAATCCCAACAACTTGTCATTATGTATTGTCATTATGATGGTTTTTCATAAGATGTAGTGCTCCTTGCCCCTCTCTCCTGAAATCTTAATAGTTCTGCACTGCATTACTCTTGCTTCTTTCACTCAGTGTACCATTATAATCACCTGTACCTACAACTCTCTGTATTTTTCTTCATTACTATTTTCAGAATGTAAAATTAGAATCCTAATAACATAATAAAAAATAGTCCCATATATGCAACTTCAGCATTTCACCTGCATGGAATCCCAAACTTAATGTGTTTTCATAGCCAAATGAATTCAGAAAGCATGATATCATCTTTTTCATAAAATGAAGATATCTCCTTCTTTCATATTATCTTTTAGTTTAGAATATCATGAGGGAGATGTGAATTCCCTGAGTCCTTTTCTCAGGAACAACTAAAAAAATCTTCCTAAACTACTCGCCTAAGAACCAACACACTAAAAAATACTGAATTATTTTTATCTTCAGAAGTAAAAATGCATGATTATTGTATAAGTCCTTAATGTAAGAAAATCCAATTAATTTATTATATGAATTCAAATATTTTACACTAGCTTAAATTATAAAATTGAAAGATAGCAAGAGTGGGCTCTACTTTGAAGTTCTGAAACTGTATTTGCTGTTTCATGATCCACAGTCACCTCTCCAGGTTTTACTGTTTTTGTATATACAAACTAGAGTATGAAGCTAAGTGATGGAATGAAAGCAAATTCCCACTTATCCACTCAGTAATATTGCTTCTGCATAATCATATTGGGAAGTTGAAGGAAAAAAAACTTCGGTCTTATCAGAAAGTCTTACTTTTCTAGTCTCTATTAATTATGGCTTCTTAACTAGCAACTTATCTTCAGATTCCTAAGACTATCATAAGACATACCAATTATGAAAACTGATGGTACCACTAACTCCTTAAAAATTTTAATGACTATTATTTGGTCTTTCATGGGTGAAAAATAGATCACTCATCAGATTTCAGATGCAAGTTTTGTTCTTTAAAAAAGCAACAACTAAGAAACTACAGAATACAAATAATCATTACGAGATAAATATCATCATTAGATTTTAAAAACAAAGTATAAAATAAAGCACCACTATACTGAACCTCAGTAGTCACTCTTCAATATGCTAAATCTTCATTTTAGCCTGGAAATCCTGTTTTCACAATAAAAATTTTACATGTAGTTCCTTTAAAGCTGTCATAATTACAGATTGAAAACCTTTTATAACCACATGTAGTATAAATCAACCAACCTCTCAACAAAATTGCAGTTGTTGGATGCCCTAATCTGAGTGGCAATTTCAAATGACTACCTGCCACTAGATGGGTTGGCAGGTTACTGGATGGGTAAAATCCAGAATGTGTGTTGACCTTATGTTGAGATCCAGGCTTAGGGCATCTGGAATGTGAGTGGTAGGCTGGTTTGAGGGTCTGGGTGGGAGATTGCATTTTCTTCTTTGTGCAAAGTACGGGAGTGTGACATTGAAGGTGGATTTAGTCCATAGCCTTTTCCACTCCTTCTTGAACTGAAGCTGGAGAGAACAGGCATTTGTAAAATATTATGGCATATGCTGATACAATTTGATGGCATTAAATAAAAACAAGAAAAGGACTAAAATAAAACAAAACATGCTCTGGGCTGGGAGTTGGCATACCTGAGTTCTACTGTTAACCTGGCTGCTGACCATCTGCAATACTTTGGACAATTCACTTGTCCTGTGCCTCAGTTTCCTCATTTAAAGTGGAGAAAATAAGATAGTCCTGCCTTATCTCACTGATTACCAGAAGTAAGAAGATATGTGAATAAAGCACTTAAAGCGTAAAGAATATTTTAAATGTAAAAAACTATCATAAATATTTATAGTGTTCTGGGGTACTGTATAGTTTTTTTGAGACAGAGTCTCGCCCTGTCACCCGGGCTAGAGTGCCGTGGTGTCAGCCTAGCTCACAGCAACATCAAACCCCTGAGCTCAAGCAATCCTCCTGCCTCAGCCTCCCAAGTAGCTGGGACTACAGGTGCATACCACCACACCTGGGTTATTTTCTTGACTTTCAGTAGAGACGGGGTCTCACTTTTGCTTAGGCGGGTCTCCAACTCTGGACCTCAAGCGATCCTCCCACCTCGGCCTCCCAGAGTGCTAGGATTACAGGCGTGAGCCATGGCACCTGGCCTGGTATTGCACTGTTAATGGACTCAAATGATCCAAAGTTCAGCTTCTTACATATGAAATACTCATGGAACAGTTTGTTCACTGATACAAATAAATCAGTCTGATCCAAATAGCAGTTTTAGTTTTTATTTATAGTGTAAATATTTAGTAATTGGTAAAGGACAGTGAGTATATTTTAACTCTTAATTCCAAATAAAGAATGCAATAAATTTAAAATGTAGATGTGTTTGTAAACAGAATGTATCATAGAACTACAGACACCACGCTATTTTTTTTATGAACATGGCAATGTATAATTGGTATTTCTTTCTTTCCATCCTCAAAAATGATACAAAAGGAACATGAAGAATGAAAAACAGAAACCCCATTTTTGGCAAAACTAGGAAACAAACCAAAAAATGAGTAGAAAGGCTGCCAAAAACAATGGAGATGGAGTAGGAATGTACACTGTAGGCAGCAGAGAATGTTGTAGCTGCAGATGTCGGAAAGAACAAAGTATACTTCTTGAAGGTCATGGGTACACCCTAAAGTACAAATCCCTTCTTTATATCAATGGAAACAAGGTGCATGGGCTGACAGCTAGAGCTCTCCTGGATATGGTTTGGTTCCAAGAAGTAGAGGGGACAATGCTAAATAAGGAATCACACCAACTGTTAACATATTTGCAAAAAGAAGTCTGTCTCTGTGGCTATGGGAGTCACATTGCCTGACAGAAATCCCCAAAGTTGTCTATCTCCATTGGCTGGGGCAAAATAGAGGAGAAAAGGAATGGAAAAATATGACAGTAAAAACAGAACATTCACAAGAAAAATATTGATATGGAGCAGATGAAAATCATGACAAATAGTCTACCATTAATAAAAATTATGCAATAAAGTAATTTGGGATTTATAAAAATATATAATCACAAAATTTTATTGACTAGAACAATAA